TTATTAACATAGAAAGCAAAATTGTATTGGAAAAGCATTACTTATAGAGATAATTAAGGTTTTTTCAATTAGTGTCTCTATGGATGTGTTACTTACTGCCAGGATGAGATAACAGCAACATTTCATTCTTATTTTAAATTTTTGTTCAAGTGCTATGAAGCTGTGTTCATAATATGTAGACAGGAATAGAAGGTATTTTTTTTTATCATATAACTCAGTTCTTTGAACTCCTTTTGAATACTGAGCCAAAAATTAAACATCACTCCATCTTTACTATTTTTAATGATCTATAGCTGACAACTGGATTATGTCCTCTTTTAATTTTATTGAAAACAGAAAATCAGAAACCTCTATTTAGCAAAAGGATTTTTTTGCTCAGTCATTAGAATCACTCACTCTTTCAACACCAACACACATACTCAGAACTGTCCTTTTGTTTGGTGCTATGGAAATGTTTAGACCCATTGAAGGCAGCATACCTTAGCATACCACTCAGGGTGGCTGAGAGATACATCTTTCTTTTGCAAAGAAGAGATGGTAATTTGCACAGAAAGGTGGACAAGGAGAATGAGAGCCAGTTAACATTCAACCTTCACCTCAGGCAATTTTTCAAGCCAATCAATTTTAGGATAGTACGCAGTGTAGTTGAGATTCTGGAAATCAATTCTCTCAAAACCATTTGTGCCTACGTAGTTCTTATAAAGTCTTTGTGCCCTCCAATTTGAAGGCTTATGTTTAGAGCAAGGGTAAAAGAGTTTGAATTGGTTGTAAACCATTTTTAAGAGTTTGGACCTCCTTTTGAACCCAGTGGGGAGCCACTGAAAATCTTTGCAATAAAGAGAGGACATGATTAGTGCCCTGCTTTAGGGAATAAACCGAGAATGGCTGGCTGCATCCATTCATTCAACAAGCGGTCTCTTCTGCGTAGTGTGGATTCAAAAATGAAGAAAACAACGTCCCCGCCATCCTAAAGTTTACATTCTTATGGGGAAAGGCAGACAAATGAATACAATAGCATAATGTCAGTTGGTGATGGATGCTATAATATGCAGAGCAGGCACTATTCTGGACAATGTGGATACAAAGCCCCAGTCCCGTGGAGCTTGCATCCTAATGGTGGAGACAAGAAATAAATCAAACAGCATAATATCAGGATAGTGCCAGTACTATTAACAGTTAAGAGGTGTGTGTGTAAAGGGTAAGGAGTTTATTTTTCAGATGGGGCGGGGGTTTCAGACATTAGTAGATAACGTCTTAGGATATCTGAGCATTGCCTTGAATAAGTGATGAAGTATACTATGTGAACATCTATCTAGGTAAAAAGGGTTACAGAGTAGCATTTCGGGAAAACAAGGCAGCTAGCCTTGCTGGAGCAGTGTGAGAAAGAAGAAAAATAGGAAATAAAGTTGGAAAGGTGGCCAAGTATAAGGTAATGTAAGGTCCTGAGAGTATGGAAGACTTTGTTTTTTCTGGTGAGGAGAGAGAATATACTTTGCACTGATTTGTGTATTAAAGGGATCACTCTGGCTGCTTTACCAAGAATAGATTGCAGGAAGGTAGGATTAAGGAGCCTTGGATTATGCTGGTATTATAGAAGAGGCTGTTTAAGATTATAATCAAGGGAAGGAGGATCAGCTAATAACGATATCTCATGTCTTTCTAATGAATGCTGGAGTTGCAAAATGGAAAAAAAGAAAACAAATTCCTAAAACTCTGTAGAGGGAGGATAACTTGGAAACTGGATATGGATGGCAGCATGGTTGGAGAGAATGAGGAAAATGAAAGGCAATTCTGAGGCTCCAACAATTGGTAGTTGGAAGGATGGTGGTACCATTAATTACAATAAAAAAATTAGTTTAGGAGAGAAAGGAGAAGGTGATTGATTTTGATTATGTTAAGTATATCTATACATAAATGTTTAGCAGATATAAATTGTAAATTTATTCGTCTATTACTTTGTTTATTTGGAAATAGACAAAAGTCAAAGCCATTTTCACAAGTCTCAAGGAAAAAGCAAGCAGCTATTCTTTTGGGAGTGTTAAAGCAAAATAAGCAGGAGGTTCATCAGCCTGGGGTTGTTTCTGTATCTGGAGGTCTTATGCAAACACACCAAAACTTAACTGGAAACAGTTGTCATAACTGACTTGGAAAACAAAACAAAAAAATAAACAGTGAGCCTCAGCCAATCACAAACAGCCAACCAGCCAATTGGTTTTACAGCTAGGGACCTCTCGTCACACCATATCCAAATAAGCCAAATGACTTATCACACCAGGCCCAAATAAGACAAACACCTAGTTATAGTCAATCAGGTAATTTCTCTAGCCTGCTTCTCTGTTCAGCTGCAGAAGATCCCTGCTACATTGCTGCAGCTGAGCTTTCTAAACCTCTTCTGGTTCAGAGTCTTGCCAGATTTTGAATCATTCTTTGCTCAAATAAACTCTGTTGAATCTGTCTAAAATTTTTCTTTTAACAGGGGTGATGATTAATGTAGGGAAAATGCTCATATAATAGTGGGAAATCAAAAGCCTGGGAGACAAAAGAGATTTATTTGTAAATTCCTTTAACAAAGGTGGTGTAGCATAAACATGGCTCTGGAGCCAAACTGCCAATGTTCAAATTCCTTCTTTACCCTTTTCTAGATGTAGAAGTTTGAATTTGATCTTCTGGGACTCAATTTCTTTATTTGAACAGGTAGGTTCTATACAAGAACCTACCTATTAGGGTTGTTGTGGAGGAAGGATTCTTAATCTGGAGTCCACAGAATTTTAGCATCTGTGAACCTTGTATTGAAAAAATTACAACCAATATATGCGATTGCACAATTTATTCAGACTTCATGTCACTTAGTTGGCCAAGCATCCCACAGTTCTGTGCTTCTTGGTTAATCATAATCGCACTGTAAAGTCTTAATGTTTACACATTGGTTCTCACATTCACACGTCTTTCCAGTATTCCCCAAATACAAACATTTGTTGATCAACATGAAAAAGGAAGTGAATTGTTTTAATTTTGATAATGGTATTTTATTATAGTCGATTCCTTAGTAATCCTATATATTTGATTTCATACACTTCGAAATTTGTACTTATTTGTATGAATTTAAGGGGTACAAGTGCAGGTTTGTCACGTGGGTATATTGTGTAGTGGCGAAGTCTGGGCTTTTAGTGTAACCATCACCCGAATAATGTTCATTGTACTGATTAGGTAATTTATTTTATTCCTCACACCCCTTCCACTTCCCGAGTCTTCGATGTCCATTATTCCACACTCTATGCCCATGTGTACACGTTTAGCTCCCACTTGTGAGAACATGCAGTTTTTGATTTTGTTTCTGAGTTATTTCACTTAAGATCATGTACTATTTAAAGATTGCGTCTATAGGCTTCATCATATCATCAAAAGTGTTCGTGGCACAAATGAAGAAATCTTGAGGTAGAGGAATAAATAGGGTACACGTGATCCTTTAAAAGAACAGTACCAGTCCCATATCAAATGTTCAACACACGGTCTGTAGCTATTGTTCTTAAATGTATATATAGAACAGGAGTTGCATTACGGCCTATTCACTGCTGCATTCAAAATGTAAAATATAGCTAGTACAGTGCTCTGCACTTTGGCATTCCATCAATGCTGAAATGAACGAATTAAGTAGAAACTAGGTTGGCGCCTCAGGCCCCTCAGTTGGGACTGGAAGGAACAGCTGTTAAGTTGTGGAGCGGCTTCTAAGAATCCAGGGAGCTCTAGAGTGTGTTAGATGGATGGCTTCAGAGGGCTCAATAGGAGACACAGCTGTGTCCCTAACAATGTCCCAACGGGAGTGGAGACTGCAGGTGGCTACAGGAACCAGGTTCTTTCTTATTCCTCAAAGCTCTCCTTTATCACCCAAGACGGCAATTAAGTCTGACCAAGGCTCCAGGTGAAGGTTTGCACTAACAGCCTCCTCGCCTTTTCCTGGGACCTATTAACGGTTTCAATAGCAGAACAGCCTTCGATTAAAGTCAGCGAGCGAGAGAACCGCGAGGCGCGGGTCTCGCGAAAGCTCCGGGCAGAGCGCACGCCGCGCCCAGGAGCCCCGCTCCCTCGCCACGCCCACTTCCTGCCCCATCCCGCGCCTTTCCAGGTCCTTCTCCCGGTGAACCGGATGCTCTGTCAGTCTCCTCCTCTCCGTCCTCGGCTGCTGCCCGGGTGCCTCACGACGCCGCTGCCACCCCCGAGGGCCCAGCCAGGGGGCTCCCGGAGGCTGGCCTGGCAGGTGTGGAGCGCGGTAGGAGCTGGGCGCGCACGGTTACCGCGCGTGGAGGAGACACTGCCCTGCAGCCATGGGTGCCAGGGGCGCTCCTTCACGCCGGAGGCAGGCGGGGCGGCGGCTGCGGTACCTGCCCACCGGGAGCTTTCCTTTCCTCCTCCTCCTGCTGCTCCTCTGCATCCAGCTCGGGGGAGGACAGAAGAAAAAAGAGGTAGAATGAATCCCCTTGGCGGTCTCCTGTGGGCCAGGGCGGGCTGGGGCGGGCTGCGTTGCTAGGCAGCCTCGCCGCGTTGCTAGGCAGCCGGGCCGCGGGCGTGGGCGATGGCGCCCGCCGGGCGGGAGCCACGGGGGTGGGAGGCCCTTGGGCGTTTCTTTTGGGCTCCACTGCCTCCTACGTGGAGTTCGCCCAGTCTTGACTTGAAAAACTAGGAAGCGTTCCCTTTTCTTGAGTCAGGGCGCCTCACATCTTTCAGACCCTGGGCATTTTGACCCTCAGCTAGAGGCGGAGCTTCGGGCGCTTGTGTCACTAAAAGGGGTGTGTTGGATGTGAAAATACCCGTCAGTAGTATTTATAAACCTTCAGAAATCATTTCTCCCTTATTTTCTTACTCTGCTTCCTTCGTTATTCATTTCAAGAGGCAACAGAACACTGAAAGTGTGTTTTAAGTTATTCTCTATTTTTAATTACACGTTTTTAAAACTTGCACTCTGTACTTGTGAGAATAACCTTACGTTATTATGCAAGTTTTTCCTGAAATTCAGACCAGCTGATTTCAATCTTAGTTCTACCATTGATTTTGTTGAAGGTGAGATTTGAAGTGACTGTATTTAAAGTAGTCGTAGGTATTTAAGGTAGTTGTAGAGTTACTGGTGAATTTCGGTAGTCTATCATGGGTAGTTGATCTAGCAGCTTCAGAAAAAACTTTATTTCGGGAATGTGGCCAAGATTTCTAATGATGGACCGTTTTGGTGAGAGTACTGTGCTTATATAATTCAAGATGGTTTTTCCTGATGAAGTTATCCACCTACACGTGGCTCAAAATCTGAATCAGGTTTAAGGTATTACCAAAATCATCCTAATAGCTGAGAGGAGAGAGTGAAAAAAATAGCCTCACCTGCAAAGTAATTCTGATTCTCTTTCTCTTTATTCTTTGCCTTGAACAACCATGGGTTCAATATTAACTACTGTTCTTCTCTTTAGCTTTTTTAACAATGAAAGTAGGCCATGTAAAGTTCTTGATGGAATTCTAGTAAGGGATTTAGAGAAGAACCACTGTTAAATCAAAATTGTGTTTACAAATACAAATTAAAGATATATTTTCTAGCACTTGGCATTTATATCCCATATTCCAAGAGTTTTAGATTTCATAGTTGTTCATGAAAAGGGTAGAGATTGAAAAGTAGATAGTTTCTTGTGAATTACCAAGGCAGAGGGCAATAAAAGACTATGAGGAACTCCATGGAAATTCTAATGTTTTATCTCCTAGGAAGATCACTGTGACTATACTACCTTTAAACC